TTGGATGAGCTTGCCAGCAAGCCCCAGGGTCCTCCTGTCTACTCCTCTAGCACTGACGTCATAGGCACGGTTGCTGCCCTCGACTCTTTATGTAGGTGCTGATGACCCAACCGCAGTCCTCATGCTGTGTGCTGTCTCCCAGCTCACAAACAGTCCAAGTTCGAAAAATGATATAGTCTTTAAAAAAAAAGCATGGAGAACTCTTACCTAATGGCTTTTAAATAGAAGTGCCGTATAATACTATAAGGATTTGAATTACAATGTAAAACTTGAAAAAAGTATTTTAAAAAGATAGCCAAGTGCAAAGTAAAAAGATTCTTATTCTTGGACATCAAATAGTTTGCCATCAAAGAAGAAAAGTAAAAGAAAGTACAGAACATTTAGAAAATGTGAATTTTAAAGATAAGTTATGAATGAGGGATAAAAATCAATTTATTACACATGTTTCTGTCACGGGAAGCATGGTTGGTGTCACAATGTTCTCTACAAATTCAGCTTTCATCACAGCTTCCCATGTGGACCAATATTTGTGAAAAAGCTTCCCAGAAATTATAGTTGTCAAGGAATCTGGGAGCCAGCAATCTAAAGCAACTATCCAGCCTGCCCTCACCTGTGCCTGCCTCTCCTCATCCGAGCCTGTCTTGGAGTTAGAGCTCTAAATTCAGATGCAAGCTCAAGCCCTGTGAGAGCTGAAGGTGAAGAGTGCGGCACAGATAATGGCTTCCTTCCTGGGCTGGGCTGGCATTAAGATGGAGCCTGATGGTACCCCCAGGGAATATGAATACACTGGATACTGTGATGAGACTGGATAATTAATGGAGGACTTCTAGAAGAATTGAAAATCAACCTTCTTGTGTGTGTGTGTGTGTGTGTGTGTGTGTGTGTGTGTGTGTGTGTGTACACTCTGCAAAAGGCCAAGGTGTCACAACAGCTTACTTGGCTGAATCCTCACTGTCTCCAAGGCTTTGGAGAAGGAAGGCTCTCTCCTCTTCCTAGGCTGCACCCCAAGGCTTGCACCAATATCCCCATGGTCCCCGGGGTGGAAACCATTTCCCGCCACCCACAGGACTGCAGGCGTGTGGGTCCTTCAATAGCAGATCAGCAGCCCAGTCATATAACAAGTAAGAATGGTGTCACTGAAGCCAAAGGGGAGTCCACCTGCAAGAGCAGCCGGAATCATGCTTTACATCACAGAGTGGCAACTGGAGACAGACAAGAACAGTGAGCACACAGAGGGAGATTTAAACGCAGCGCAGAGAGACCTTCGGGAGATGAGACACATGACTTTCCCATCAGACAATTCTGTCAGGAAGTTGCAGGACATGGTTGTTCTTGAGAGAACTGGTAGCTCAAGTGGAGGGGTGTGAGGCATAGAACCAAAACTTAAAGGGGTGGATTCATGAGAGAATGCCAATCTAGGAACTAGAACATGTGTGTAACAGGAGAGCCACGGGAAGTGATCAGATGAATACAAGAAACATTCTCAGAGGTGACTCGAGTCACCTCTGTATATGGTGGAGCTCTCGAGTGCCCCAATAGCAGACTCTTCGCAGCTTCCTGACAGAGAGCAGATGACATTCTGTGAGGTGTTGGCTAGCTGCAGGTATCTCATTGTTGGCACCAGAGATGAGTAGGAGCAGTAACAGTAGAACCTGGAGAGAAATAGCAGCAGCTGAATGTACAGGCAGCCAGCCCTTTCCCTTCGCGATTAAAATTTGTTATTTAAGAATTTAAGGATCTCATTGTCATTTTATGACAAAAATGCTCATGAGCAGAGTACAAAGAAATGGTCTGCTGGACATAACCATAGCCTGCATGGTGAGGGGACATTGTGCTCGCCAGACCATAGCCCTCGTGGTGATACTTGAATTCAGATCACTGGATTCAGAATCTAGAGCGTTAACCATTACACCATGGGGGCATATCAATGCTCAATTTTTTAAATTTATTTTTTGAAACTTTATACATGAACTTACATGACTCCCATCCCTTCCTCTCCTTTCAACTTCTTCCATGTCCCCTTGTCTCCCAAACTCATAATCTTGTCTTTTAAAATTTTTCGCATATATACACATATGTATATATGTATACACATAAATAAACAAATAAAAGTAATAAATTTGATTTATTTATTTTTATTTTGTGACTGTTCAACTTAGTTGAAAAGCAAATCCGAAGATGGGCCTGGTGGTGCTGACATGTAATAACAGCTACTTAGGAAGCTGAGGCAGAAGGACTGTGAGTGTATTACTTGTCTGGCTACAGGGTGAATTGTAAGCTTGAGTAACTTAGTGAAATCCTGTGTCAAAATAAAATGTTTTAAAAAGTGGGGCAGTGCAGTGACTTACCAGTAGAGCATTTGTCCAGCATGTAATGTACAGGCCTTACATGCAACACACACACACACATACACACACACACACACACACACACACACACACACACACACACACTATGAATACAGGCTCATATACATACATACATTATGGGTGTGTTTTTATAAATAATTTATAAACTTATAAATGAAAAGATGGAAATAACCTTTGTACCAAAGGATAAGTCAAAAGTCAAATGAGCTGGGCATGGTGGTGCTCACCTTTAATCCCGGCACTGGGGAGACAGGGGTGGGTGGACCTGTGAGCTGGTGGTTAGCCTCGTCTACATAGTGAGTTCCAGGCTAGCCAAGGGCTACTTAATGAGACCCTGACTACAAATGATAGCAATAAGAAGGTCAAATGTCAAGCTGTTTAAAACTCCACAGAAACTTCTAGAGAGTAAAAGCTGTAGGCAGTGGAAGTCACCTCTTTGACACACTGTCATCATTTAAATGAAGACAGAGCATGTTTTTTCATTATGAAATGAAGAAAAAGAATGACAAAACACACTAAGGCAAATCAGAGGCAACAACCAAGAGAAAGGCTGAAATGAAGGAAACAAAGCCAAGAAGGTATATACATTATATGGCTTGCTCTTTGATAAGCACAAGTTGGTATAAGAGTCTGTGTGTGTGACTAGAAATGTAACAAAGAGTAAGCAAGTGTAAATGAGAAAAGAGACATGGTGGTGGTGGTGGGACAGGATGGGGATAATCTAGAGAAAACAAAGGTGAAAATTTGTTCAACTCTTTGATAAAGACTTTGAGAACCTAGATGAAGTAGACTTTTCTTTGTCAGATATACATGTGACCCAAAAGAAATGGAAAATGTGAATTGGATAGTAACCCTCAGACATGTGGTGAATCGATTAAAGAGCCAATGGCAGGCTATGGAGCTGCAGCTAGTTTTATTTACTCTTAAAGAACACATTTACCATTGTTCACACTAATTCAGAAGCCTTAAAGCTCTTGGTTCATTTATAGAACAAGTACACATTTGAGCCCCAAACTCCATACAGGACAGGAAAAAACCTAGAGAAGAGTTTTGAATATAGATGAAAAAGCCCATCTATGAGTTTTGGCTCATCACCAGAGAGCCCGTTGATGGGTGTTGCCACAGCACACTTCTTACCACTGGTGTCCATTATGAAGTCACATAGAATAAGAAGTCATTTGGAAATTTGCAAAATTCATAAATAAGAAGGAAGACATTATGTCCTCCTAATTTAAAACTGTCCAAGCTTAATTTAGCTCCTCACTGCCCCTTCCCTTAAGGGCTATGTGATCCATAGCAAATTTTGAATTGTAGCACAGTTGCTGTCTCCTCAGAAATGCTGTGACAGCCTCCTGCTGTTATAGCTCAGAGGGATGTGCTCAGAAATTCAAATCCGTTTCCATACTTTCCAAGTACAGCATATTTCAAGACAGATCTACCACCCCAAATATCACACAAATTAAAGCTAATGGGATGGTCTGGAGATTTCCCACACTGCTGCTCGTCTTCACTGCTGCTCAATATAGACGACTCATTGTGCATACGAATAAACCTCTGCCCTTTGTCCAAAGCTAGTGCCAGTGATGTCACTGTTGCTAGTATCAGGCCTGCAGGATGCACTGTGCCTTCTGCCTATTACAGATAGAATTTACATGGCACACAGTAGGTGGGATGGCAACATGAGTATTTCCTGATAGTTACCCAGGAATGACTTTTCCTATGTTCATGGTGTGTGTGTGTAATTGTTTGTGTTTCCTGTGTTTGCTTCACTTTCTTAGGCATTGGATGTGTTTATCGGGCTTATGTCAGAGGTTTTATGTTTTATTTCACTTTGTGTAGATGTGGATGCACAAGATTGGCATTGAAACAAAAATTTAATCAAATAGTCAAACACTAAGGGCATTTGCAAAATAGATAAAGAAGTAAAAAACCATCTGTTTCATTTACAGACGCTCTTATCTCTAGGAAAACACTTCCTGAAAACCTGTCCTTAATACTTCGCCTTAAGACTCTGTGCTTGGGAAGCTGGGCATGATGGGGCATGGCCCCCAATCCCAAGATTTGTGAGCCTGAGTCATGTGGTTACTGAGTTCAATGTCAGCTTGGGCTATGTGGAAAGTTTTGGGGCCAGCCTAGGCTATATAGTGAGACTGTCTCAAGCAAGCAAGCAAGCAAACAAGCAAGCAAGCAAGCAAACAAAACAAGTTAGCAACAGCAAGAAGATTCTTAGGCGTGTTTGTGAGCACTGTGGAAGGTACTTGGCTGTTTTCTACTGTGAATAAGCCCCACTTTTCAAAGAGGCCAAAATTTGGTGCTTATTTCAGAGAGATAATCTGTCCTAGCTAGGGTAGACACCGTTGTAGAGCATGTGGCCCTGAGGTGAATGTCAGTGTACTTCACACACATTCGGGACTTAATTCCTTCTTAGGGTGTTTGTGGACTGAAGCATGGACATGACACCTTTCTGTCGCAGGGCTGGAAAGGTGAAATTGGACGGGATTTAATCTGCTAGGTCTATTGCTTCCTGGTCCTTAGAGCTCAGAGAATGCCACGAAGCAGTTCTCAGAACACCTTTTCGGTGAACTGTTTGCTCTATTACAATTTCTGTTTTTTTCTTTGCAGATCCTGCAGGTGGCCTTTTAAAATATGCACCAGAGACACAGAGTACCACGCAGGAGCTGAAAATGTTCCAAAGACTTCTGGGTTCTCTCTCCACTTTTCCCGTCTTTTCAACCCCCTTGCCTGACTTGGATGATGCGATGTTCTGAGGAATTCCTTAATCCTAGTCACTCCTCAGTCAGGCACATCTACGAAAGATTGCATCCGTAATTTAAGATGGCCAGCCAGCCACCAGAAGAGCCTGTGGAGACTCAGGTCTCAGATGAGCTAGAGTGCAAGATCTGTTACAATCGGTACAACCTGAAACAGAGGAAGCCCAAGGTTCTGGAGTGTTGTCACAGAGTTTGTGCCAAATGCCTCTATAAGATCATAGACTTTGGGGACTCTCCCCAGGGTGTCATCGTCTGTCCTTTCTGTAGGTTTGAGACGTGCCTGCCGGATGATGAAGTTAGCAGCCTGCCTGATGACAATAACATCCTTGTAAACTTGACTTGTGGAAGCAAAGGGAAGAAATGCCTGCCTGAGAATCCCACGGAGCTGCTGCTCACCCCGAAGCGGCTGGCTTCCCTGGTCAGTCCTTCCCACACATCCTCCAACTGCTTGGTTATCACCATCATGGAGGTGCAGAGGGAGAGTTCCCCATCTCTCACCTCTACACCTGTGGTAGAATTTTACAGGCCGGCAAGTTTCGACTCTGTCACCACAGTGTCCCACAACTGGACGGTGTGGAACTGCACCTCCCTACTCTTTCAGACGTCCATCCGGGTGTTAGTGTGGCTTCTAGGCTTGCTATACTTCAGCTCCTTGCCCTTAGGGATCTATTTACTGGTGTCTAAGAAAGTCACCCTTGGGGTAGTCTTTGTTAGCCTCGTTCCCTCTAGCCTTGTCATCCTTATGGTGTATGGTTTTTGCCAATGTGTTTGTCATGAATTTCTGGACTGTATGGCACTTCCTTCTTAACCAATATGCAAAATAGGAAATTTGGCACTTACGGCTACATTCAAATGATGTACGTACAATTTGCTTTCTTTTGTATTCTCTATGATTAGTGTCTACAGCCTCAACAAAGCCCTTGGCCATATGTCTGTGGTCCATTTTCTGTCCAGATGTTGGCTTGATGGGTTTTCTTGGATTCTGAACATTTTCTAAAAAGTTCATTTCTACATAGGGGTTAACCAAGAAAGCAAGGCTGTGTGCATAGCTTTTAGGGAGCTCTGACAATTGTGAGATGTCCATGAGCAAAGGTGTGGGCACAGGCAAGGTGTGTTATACCGTGGCAGGGTATTTGTGAAGAGGTAGGGATAAATGGAGTCCTCCTTCAAGTTAGGGGTATTTCATGATAATAGGTGGATGTCACAGGCAGGTTGCTCCAAAACACATAGGTATGCACCCAATTTTCTTAGCACTGGAGCCCCTAATCATCTTCAGGTGCTTTCTCTCTTAAGGCAATGCTTCTCTGAGGTCTGCTACCTGCCCTCAGATCCATTTCTCTTCTGTGCGGTGCTCCCTGACCCAGAGTCCTGCAATATCATCCCCTTGGGTGGTTCCTGCAGAATTTCCTGTTTGGGCATGTTGCTAGAGAAGAGGGACGACTTTGAGAAGTTTGCAAGGAAGTAGACCTCACGCCAGGGCATGGCCATTTATCCTTACCACAGGCCTTTTCCTTCATGTGCGGTTTTTCTCCCAGGCTTCCCAGAGAAGATCTGAGCAGTTTTGGCATGTGGAAATATTCACTGGAGTAATTCCTTATAGCATTTTAGGTTTGTTTGATTTCTAACCACATTCTTCAATCAGCCCATGCCTTATCCTGAACAAAGTTCCATTTAAATTAGTTGCTATCAGTTTATGAAGGTTTCATTTTCTTCCCCTTGTTTTAGAAATTTGCTTAGGTCTGATTTGGCTGACTCCTGCAACACTCTGGGGGAACCTGTGATGGTGAAAACCCAGCAACAGGTCGCCAGTTGCTCTAGTCCTAGGCACTGAGAACCCACGTTCTGTTGAATGGTACCAGACTGCAGTGGCTTGGGTTTATGTCCTATGGAAGTCCAGGCAAAAGAAAGGGTGAAGCCATGCCGAGTTGATGCCCTGCTTGGAGAGACAAGTCAAGGGAGTGAAGTGGAGGTGGCCAGGTATGGCTCACTTGCGGCTGTTCAGTCAGTTTGGGGATAGATTCAAGTCCTTCAGTGTATTTTCTGTAAAAGCATAAGTAAGCTACATGGCCTGAGTATGCACCCTGCTTCATGAAATGGGGTGGGGGGCATTGAATGTATATATTTGTGGGAGTAAGTTGTCTAGCAAGTTTTAGATGGGGAATAGAATGTTCACAGAAACTAGGCAAAAAGAGGGAAGAAAGCTTCTTAGTCTGAAACTCATTGCTGATACTTAACAATAAAATACCCGTAATGCTTAGTGAAGGGCTTTACCAAGACTCCGTTAACTTGTTTGTGGTGAAACATTTGTAGTGTGAAATAGTTACAGGGGACCAGTTCCAAACTCCATATTAAGGAAAACATGGATGCTTACCTAGAATAGGAGTTTTATTTTAGTTGTGTAACTACTGACTTTGAGAACATGTATGCCCAAGGTACATATACTGAGAAAGTATATGTGGGATGTGGTCCAATGAAATTTAACCCCCAACTTAGAGCTAAATGCAGTTATGATTCCAGAAACCCTAGTTTTAGGTAGTATTGTGGATGCGGTTTCCAGAATTCCATTTGTACTTTGAGTAAATACAATATTTAAGAGGTTTTGTGGTTTGGATTTATATATTTATAAGGTTTCTTTTTTAAAAGATGCTCATTTTGTGTGAATTGTAGCGTTGAGTGAGTTGGTGAGTTACCGCAGGAAGAGATTTGCAGAAGGCTCTGGACCAACGCTGTGTTTTGCTGCTTTGTGTGATGTCTGCAGTGCTGAAGTTGTGTCTGTATGCGCCGTGGCAATGTTTTTCTTAATGCCAATGTGTTGATTTGGTTTTAAAGAGTTTTAAACGTATGACAATAGCAACACAAAACAACATAACTCTCCATGCTGTTCAACGGAAAGGGCAGCCCTTTACTGTTGTTTTCCCTTATGCTAATGTTTTCTTGTCTATTAAATTTTGTTATTTCTAAACAAGCTGTTTGGTTTCTCTGGTTTATTGGTGCGATGCCATTATCATTTCAGATTACCACAATGTGAACTTTCATTAAGCCAATGCCTTTACCATACACATAAAGATTTTAGAATCTCCCCACAAAGCTAATCACACTTCTACAAATGCCCTCATATTTTATTTCAAGTGGAGAAGAAACATTGGGGAAGATGAAATAAGAATATTATCTTCATAAGTGAGATGTCTTATTTTGTTTGATTTGGTTAACTTTTTCCTAACTGCTCAACAAAATAGAATCCAGTGAAATAAAAGAATCCCTTACTGTGCAGAGTCTGGTCAAACTAGAAAAAACACTGTGTCTACCAATCATGATCATTGTTGAGTCATTTGAGAGTATGCAGCAGTTCAGTGTTCATAATAATCAGTGAATTAGCACCGCATGTCAATCAAGAACAATGATTTAATTCGCTTTGGAAATCTTTACAGCAGTGAGCAAAGAAGCAGGCTGAGGAAGACAGTTAGCCGGGCCCTTGCAATTACCCTGTGAACTCAGGCTTAGCTGCTCAGGACCAGGAAGCAATGACCAGGGTTTTGAGCATTGTAGAAACCACGATAAAATTTCTCAGCATGTCAGCCTGACAGATGCAAAGCTAGAGGAATCCTGAAGTTGCCAGACAAACAGACGGAGTCAAGAGGGGCGCTCAGAGGAGGGGGCGGCAAGGTAGCCTGGGAGGGTGCAATGGGAGCGGGCGGGCGGGCGTGTTCTTTCTTTACTGTCCTTGTTGACACAGGCTTAAAGCTTGCCTTGATTTCTTGGAATACTTCAGCTAGACTACACAGATTATTCCAGAACTTTCTTCAAAACCAGCAGTGACAGCCTTGGTTTCAGGTAAAATGCCCGAGTTTAACCATTTGTTCTTGCAGCTTGTGTTTTATTTGTTCTCCGAATCTTTACCCTCTTCTTAAATATTTATTTTTTTATTTCAATACCCATTATGAATATTTACTCCTGTAGGCTTAGTATTGGGTTTTTCCTTGTAAAGTTTATTTTTGTCTAAAACATTTTTCCTTTTTTAATAATTTTTATTAGTGGTTTTATGTGTGTGGGTGTTTTGCCTGCCTGTATGTCTGGGCACTATGCGAATGACTGGTGTTTGAGGTCTGAAGAGGATATTGGAGCCCTTGGGACTGGAGTTATACATGGTTGTTGCAAGACCAACAAGTGTTCTTAACCATGGCCATTTCTGCAGCACCTAAAAGGTGCTGATTTTCAATGTGGATAACTAAAGTTGAAATATGAGTAAATCCCGAATGAGTCTGAGACACAGTAATGAGTGCTCCCAGTTTCTTATATTATTGACATCCATGGTATAATCCAGACCTAAGCAAGCTCAGTGTGGGTATTTATGGTAAGAAATTAAACTACAGCTTCAATACTGTAATAGTAAGTTGGGATATGTGATAACTCGCTCTTCAAAGTGATTGGGCCTTGATTTAATTAAAATATTCAATGGAACAAAACAGTTACTTGGCCAGCATTTTAATTAATCAGATGTTTATTGACTGTACCATTTATATTAGGATGGTTGGAGTTTCTGGAGAAAGAGTGTCCTGTACAAGCAGGTTACCTGTCATCTTGTTTTCCCCACAAATTGTAAAGAAATTTGTACTGTGCATTTCTATCCACACCCCTCAGGGAAGAGATCTGGCCTGGACACCCAACTTTGCAAAGCAGCTGGGGCTGAGGCATTGGAGAGAGGCTGAGGCATTGGAGAGAGAGAGGCTGAGGCATTGGAGAGAGAGAGGCTGAGGCATTGGAGAGAGAGAGGCTGAGGAGCACCAAGGCTGGAACTCTAAATGCTCAGGGAAGGTGCCAGAGGTAAGATTCTGGAACATTGAGGGGGAAGGATGGGAGCCAGAGAACATGTGGTCATTAGACCCAAGAGGAAGAAGGTGGAATGAGAATCTCTAGGTCATACGAATGAACAAACGGAGGAATTATTGCTGGTTCACTCTGCACTCAGCATCAGCATCTAGACTAGCTGTGTTTGTTTTCCTTCCTAGGTAAATGTATGATACATAATTTTCAACACTTCCCCTACTTCTTCCCAACACAATCTCATGGTGGTTGAACCAATCAAAAATGATCTTTTTGTCATTAGACATATTCTAGACCAAGGCAAGTTAATTCTGACAGCTGGCTTCATGTTAATTCCATCTGGATAGTTTGGAGTATGTTAAAAATTTTGTTGCCCATCTCTAGATTTAAAAACTTGTCTCCTCACAGCATTTAAAATACATTTCAATTATTTTAGCAACACATTAGCCTGAGATGTTGTTTTGCATGCCAAGGAACACTATTAGTCAATAAACGAACATCTATTTTTGATATGTGTTAAACCCAAACTTCCCACACTCTTTTTTTTTAATCTGCCCCCATTTTCTGATTTAATGTAATTTATGGAAGAACCTCATGCACTCATTATCATTCTCCTGCACACATATAATATACATGTGTACCTACACACATGATCTACACATGCATACAGACACACATACATTTTTATGCAACTTAGGAAACTTTTGTGAAAGAGAACCATGTCAGTCTCCCAAAAGCTTCTAACTATCCAGGTAAGTAATACTGAAAAATCATTTTTTTACTGCCTTTCTCACTGCTCATGGAACAATGGACTCTACTGCTTGGCTCAGAGACAATTCCTACCTACTTTACTGTGCTCAGCATCATTGAGCAATAGATGTTGTCCTAGCCGAACAATGGACTAATTTGTTAACATAGCTTCTGTTTGATGTGCTTTTCCTGGATATTCCAGCTAGAGCTAACTGTATAACTGTTGATTAAATTTATGGCCACACATTTTTTTTTACTAGATCTTCAAATTATACAATTAATTCCAGCCTCCTGTGATTTGGCAGGCTGAATGAAGACCTCCAGTTAAAATGGGACAAATGACAACCTGACTTTGTGGGCCTTTCTGTTGCCAGAGAAGGGTGGGGTGGAGAAGTGGTCACTGGAGACTAAAGAATGCTAAATTCTGGCTTTGGAATGAGAAGGAAAATGCCATTAATTACCTCTCCTGTCCCCTGCCCACAGGTTCGTGTTCCAGAAGAGAGCCTCACCAGATTTTTTTATACAGAACTTAAAGATCCATTATTCTGACTCATATTCTACCTAGTACTGTGCATAATATACACATTTCCCCTGACTTTTTGACACGATACCCATGCCTTTCATGGCTCATTGGGAAAATACAGAGACAATTATGGTTTATGGTTTTTAAAAGCAGGATCTTATTTTGGCAGTTGATCCAAAGATGTGTTGTGGAATGTGTCCAAGTGGCTGGTCCATGAAGGGAAGGTGTCTTGGCTGTGTGAGTGGTAGGAGATTAAAGGCCAGTGTCATCTTCTCAGAGACTTCACTGAGTGAGCATCTGACTGTGCAGTGTCTGAAGCACAGACCTTTGAATGAATCCGTTCAGTGTTTTTCAAACTTAGCTATTTATTTTATTTTATATGTTTGGCTCTTTGTCAGCATGTATATCCACATGTACCCATTCCATTTCCTCTAAAAGAAAAACCCCTCCATGAGAGGTCTGTCACATAGTATCCTTTTCTCTCATGCCACTTTTCTTCTTTCTTTCTTTCTTTCTTTCTTTCTTTCTTTCTTTCTTTCTTTCTTTCTTTCTTTCTTTCTTTCCACAAAGCACATTTTCCAACAGTCTGGTGGGTATTTTCAAAAAGTACAAATGGTAAGTCTTTGCAATTTGAAAATACCTTTTTCTTCACTAGGCCTGAGTGTATTGTTGTCCTCTGAATTCCTCTCTCCTCCTTCCCCTTCCCTCCCCTCCCCTTCTCTCTTCTCCCCTCCCCTTTTCTTCTCTCCTTCTCCTCTACTCTCTCTTCCTTTCATGAATGCTCATCATTTTGGGTCTTGGTGAGCACATTGATTTCTGATCTTTCCTGCATTCCTTAACTCCCTGCTTTGTCTATCTCCTGAGTTCATTGGTCTGTTTTGGGCTCTGTCTTTCACAGAGAACTATCTCCTGAGCTGCTAGTTTTCAACAGTCTTTTTGGTTTAGTGGGAGCTAAACAAACCTATTGGAAGCACTATCTGCCTATGGGCTTGTCTCCATTGAGCCCTTGCTGGTGTGTGTGTGGGATTCCTATTTTTGTGGCAGAGGCTCAATTCTCATTCTAAATATCTATTACATTGGTGAGTTTCTCCTTAGATGCTAAACCTGGGTACCAGTGTTTTACAGTCCCAGAGGAGGAGAAGGAGGTTTTTGATGCTTGTTCCTCCATATAGACTACCATTTAATACCTGTTTATAGCAGGGTGCCCTGCCTCCCCATCAGGTGCACCTTGCCTCTCTGAGGACAGACCTTCTCACATCTCCGGCAAGGAAGGGCGGGGGAGATGGCTCCTAGTTTTCGTAACAAAAGACCTAGCCCTGGGCGAACCTATACTCACCCTGAAGACTAGTGAGTACATGCTGTTTAGGAGTATCTCTAGGATTAAAGGAAATATTTGATATCAGCTCCATGTGTATGATAATAGACATCTTCTGCCAGTATCCCTGCTTTTGGAGAGTTATTTAAGATGATGCTGGTCTCCAATATTGACTGAGAGCCCTCCTATTATGACTAGATGTCTGTCTCATCCTTAACGTTGTTGGGTAGCTAGGCCTCCCATCATCCACACTCCCCCACTCAGGTTTGGACCTGGGGCTGTTCCGGTGGTTCTGACAGAAGCCCCAAAGACATCAGTCCGGAATAGATGGTCCCTGCAGTGTAGGACTGATCCAGGCTGGACCCTGGCAAATAATGACTATTAATATCATCTCGCTTATACTGGAGTATGGAAAGTGTTCAGG